CCCTGAAGGAACATCACATCGCTGATATAATCCGCGTATTGCTGCATCATCTCCTTGGTAATTGGCTTGTCGCCAAAATACAAGCGTTTCACTTCCTTCGGTGAAATTCCTTCCTTTTTCAACCACATCTCTGTCTCCATTGGGATTACCTCCTCGAACTTCTCGCTGATGTTTCGAAGAGATTCTTCAGCCTTATCACCCTGGAACGCTGCAAGTGGTATTACTTTGAGCGTCGAATTTTAAGAATTGCTCGAGAAACGTTGGAAAACTGTATCGAAGCAAAAATACGAGAGTGAGTCGATAATTGTCCAGAAGAAAGTTGGTGTTTTTCAGTGGCAAGGGGGAAGTTTTGCAATCGAGGAACACGAGATTTGAATCATCTTTTGTCGATTGAGAGGACTTGGTATAAAATGCAAATATATACCGAACCATTCGTCTCGAGTCTAGACGAGCGATTTTTAACCCTTTCTATCTCACGCCATTGACTTACGTTTCTGAATTCTACAGTGTTAATTTGTTAATTTGTTCTTCGAGAGATTAATTCGATATTTATTGCATTTTCGTCATCTCGTTTCTTCTCTCATTTTTAACAAGAGAGTGTACATATATTGTACTAATACAGTGAAGTTTAAGATCGAGTGGAGAATTTCCAAAAATTTGGAACCGTTTTACGAGGAATTAAACAGGTAGATGTTTCGCAGAGTCAAACGAAGAAATACGAAATTTCTTTAATCGTCGTACCGATAAAGTTCGTTAGATTCACAGAACAACAGAAACTTTCAACAGTACAGTAGTAAAGCGATGAAATTTTCTTACCTCGATAACGAGTCTAATGAATTGTTCGAACATGATAAACTACCAGTCGAACAACTTGCACCGTTAAATTTCAAGAAAAAGTCGATAGAAAGAACACGGAACTTACGATTCAGTAAGAAGGACCCCTCGTTGCTGTTATGGCCGAGGATAAAAGGTACTTTAACGCCATTTTTCATCATCAACGATGGATGTTTAGGCATGAACGGATTCGGTGATTTGTTGTCGACACCAGGACCGAACACTCCGAACAGAATGAAACGTTGCTGAAAAATTCACCATAGAGGAATTATAAAGAAAATATTCCACATTATTCTTTTTGTTTTTATGAGGTCTTTAAGTCATTGGCAACGGAGTTCTGGTTGAATTTAATATGTCGCTACCGTTAGATTTACAGATTTGTGTCTTTTAGGAATTTAACACTTTCCATTGACAATTGGCACTCGATAGGCGACGTTATATTTACCGTTAAAGGCAACTCTAAAGGTGATATTTTCCAAGACAGCAGGCCTATGGACCTTCGCTACATGTTTAGAGATCTCAACAGTGAAACAGTTCGAAAGAACCAACTTCCACTAAAAATACTAGTTTTAAAAAATCACATTAATTTTTGCTACTTCCTTATAGAAAAAAGGGCCTTCGAGTGCAAAGGGTTAACGCTGTTACGTCAAACTGAAAACTACCGTTGCTTTAAAGACGACGCATTTTTGCGTCAAAGTGTAGAGAAAGTGTTACAGGCTGTTTTCTCCAAAACTATTGAAACTATCGACTACATTTTCTTTTCTTCTTTTTAATTAAATAGAAGATGAGAAGAGCGATTAGCTGTTCACTTCTATTTAATTAAAGAAAAAATATCGGAGTCGTTTTTAGTTTTCGTATTAGATTAGAATTAACACAAAGTGTTAATTGCGTTTTCTAAGCGGTTCCCTGATGTGAGAGAAGTTGTCTGGGTTTATGTCACATTTTTGCTATCGTGGTTCAAATTTTCT